CCCCCCCCCCCCCCCACCCCCCCCCCCCACACTCCACCCACCCCTCACCCACCCCCCACCCACCCCCCCCCACCACCCACCACCACCCACTCCACCCACCCTCCCACCCACACCCCCCACCCCCACTCCACCCCCCCACCCACCCCCCCACCACCCACCCCACCCACCCCCCCACCCCCCACCCCACCCCACCCCCACCCACCCACCCCACACCCACCCCCCCCACAACCCCCACACCCACCCCCCCCCACCCCCCCCCGCCCCCCCCCCCCCCCCCCCCCCACCCCCCCCCCCCCCCCCCCCCCCCCCCCACCCCCCCCCCCCCCCCCACCCCCCCCCCCCCCACCCCCCCCCCCCCCCCCCCCCCCCCCCCCCCCCCCCCCCCCCACCCCCCCCCCCCCCCCCCACCCCCCCCCCCCCCCCCCCCCCCCCCCACCCCCCCCCCCCCCCCCCCCCCACCCCCCCCCCCCCCCCCCCCCCCCCCCCCCCCCCCCCCCACCCCCCCCCCCCCCCCCCCCCCCCCCCACCCCCCCCCCCCCCCCCCCCCCCCCCCCCCCCCCCCCCCCCCCCCCCCCCCCCCCCCCCCCCCCCCCCCCCCCCCACCCCCCCCCCCCCCCCCCCCCCCCCCCCACCCCCCCCCCCCCCCCCCCCCCCCACCCCCCCCCCCCCCCCCCCCCCCCACCCCCCCCCCCCACCCCCCCCCCCCCCCCCCCCCACCCCCCCCCCCCCCCCCCCCACCCCCCCCCCCCCCCCCCCCCCCCCCCACCCCCCCCCCCCCCCCCCCCCCCCCACCCCCCCCCCCCCCCCCCCCCCCCCCCCCCACCCCCCCCCCCCCCCCCCCCCCACCCCCCCCCCCCCCCCCCCCCCCCCCACCCCCCCCCCCCCCCCCCCCCCCCCCCCCCCCCCCCCCCCCCCACCCCCCCCCCCCCCCCCCCCCCCCCCACCCCCCCCCCCCCCCCCCCCCCCCCCCCCCCCCCCCCCCCCCCCCCCCCCCACCCCCCCCCCCCCCCCCCCCCCCCCCCCCCCCCCCCCCCCCCCCCACCCCCCCCCCCCCCCCCCCCCCCCCCCCCCCCCCCCACCCCCCCCCCCCCCCCCCCCCCCCCCCCCACCCCCCCCCCCCCCCCCCCCCCCCCCCCCCCCCCCCCCCCCCCCCCCCCCCCCCCCCCACCCCCCCCCCCCCCCCCCCCCCCCCCCCCCCCCCCCCCCCCACCCCCCCCCCCCCCCCCCCCCCCCCCCCCCCCCCCCCCCCCCCCACCCCCCCCCCCCCCCCCCCCCCCCCCCCCCCCCCCCCCCCCCACCCCCCCCCCCCCCCCCCCCCCCCCCCCCCCCCCCCCCCCCCCCCCCCCCCCCACCCCCCCCCCCCCCCCCCCCCCACCCCCCCCCCCCCCCCCCCCCCCCCCCCACCCCCCCCCCCCCCCCCCCCCCCCCCCCCACCCCCCCCCCCCCCCCCCCCCCCCCCCCCCCCCCCCCCCCCCCACCCCCCCCCCCCCCCCCCCCCCCCCCCCCCCCCCCCCCCCACCCCCCCCCCCCCCCCCCCCCCCCCCCCCCCCCCCCCCCCACCCCCCCCCCCCCCCCCCCCCCCCCCCCCCCCCCACCCCCCCCCCCCCCCCCCCCCCCCCCCCCCCCCCCCCCCCCCCCCCCCCCCCCCCCCCCCCCACCCCCCCCCCCCACCCCCCCCCCCCCCCCCCCCCCCCCCCCCCCCCCCCCCCCCCCCCCCCCCCCCCCCCCCCCCCCACCCCCCCCCCCCCCCCCCCCCCCCCCCCCCCCCCCCCCCCCCCCCCCCCCCCCACCCCCCCCCCCCCCCCCCCCCCCCCCCCCCCCCCCCCCCCCCCCCCCCCCCCCCCCCCACCCCCCCCCCCCCCCCCCCCCCCCCCCCCCCCCCCCCCCCCACCCCCCCCCCCCCCCCCCCCCCCCCCCCCCCCCCCCCCCCCCCCCCCCCACCCCCCCCCCCCCCCCCCCCCCCCCCCCCACCCCCCCCCCCCCCCCCACCCCCCCCCCCCCCCCCCCCCCCCCCCCCCCCCCCCCCCCCCCCCCCCCCCCCCCCCCCCCCCACCCCCCCCCCCCCCCCCCCCCCCCCCCCCCCCCACCCCCCCCCCCCCCCCCCCCCCACCCCCCCCCCCCCCCCCCCCCCCCCCCCACCCCCCCCCCCCCCCCCCCCCCCCCCCCCCCCCCCCCCACCCCCCCCCCCCCCCCCCCCCCCCCCCCCCCCCCCCCCCCCCCCCCCCCCCCCCCCCCCCCCCCCCCCCCCCCCCCCCCCCCCACCCCCCCCCCCCCCCCCCCCCCCCCCCCCCCCCCCCCCCCCACCCCCCCCCCCCCCCCACCCCCCCCCCCCCCCCCCACCCCCCCCCCCCCCCCCCCCCCCCCCCCCCCCCCCCCCCCCCCCACCCCCCCCCCCCCCCACCCCCCCCCCCCCCCCCCCCCCCACCCCCCCCCCCCCCCCCCCCCCCCCCCCCCCCCCCCCCCCCCCCCCCCCCCCCCCCCCCACCCCCCCCCCCCCCCCCCCCCCCCCCCCCCCCCCCCCCCCCCACCCCCCCCCCCCCCCCCCCCCCCCCCCCCCCCCCCCCCCCACCCCCCCCCCCCCCCCCCCCCCCCCCCCCCACCCCCCCCCCCCCCCCCCCCCCCCCCCCCCCCCCCCCCCCCCACCCCCCCCCCCCCCCCCCCCCCCCCCCCCCCCCCCCCCCCCCCCCCCCCCCCCACCCACCCACCCCACTCCACCCACCCCCCACCCACCCACTCCACTCAGCCCACCCCCCCCCCACCCACCCACCCCACTCCACCCCCCCACCCACCCACCCCACTCCACCCACCCCCCACCCACCCACTCCACTCAGCCCACCCCCCCACCCACCCACCCCCCCCACCCACCCACCCCACTCCACCCCCCCACCCACCCACCCCACTCTACCCACCCCCCCACTCCACCCACCCCACTCCACCGACCCCCCCCCCACCCGGGTGACTGTTTTTAATTTGTGTTTTTTGTTGTTGTTTTTGTTGTTGTTTTCAGCAAAATCAAAATAGAACAAAAAATACGACGGAACCAGGATGGAAAGGAATCGCCTTGTCAGCTACAGACGAAGGGGCCTAAACAACAACAACAACCCACTCCGGTTTAGAGACGAGGAAATGGTGCCTGGCAGAGATGTCACAATGGCGTGAGATGTTCAAGTGAGCGACGTGTCAACACCAGAGGGCCCACACCGCCCTCCCATATCTCAGGAGCTGTTAACGCCAAGTGAATGTGCAAAGCTCCAGCGAGTGACTAATGGTGGGGGGGGGGGGGGGTGACGGATGACTTGAAAGGGAGGAGCACTTTCCAAAGTGGCATTTCTGCTTTTAAGTGAAATTGCTGTAAGGCAGAGGCGCTTGACGCCAGGGAAGACGATGACTCGAATAATATCAAACGCCGAGACGTTCGCCCGGGGCTAAGTGCTCTGAGAAGCTCGCCGAATTATCCGCAACATCGAAGCGTGTGACGGACGAATGTGGTGGAGTGGATGAGGCTGGGGCGGGGCTGGGCTGGGGGATGGGTGGGTGGGTGTGGGATTTGGCTGGCTCTGATAGCTGTCGGCAATGGGAGACGCGAAATCGAACGTTGGCACAACGTGTCCCCACTACCTGTAAGTCGGAGGAGAGAAGCCAACCACAACAACCACAACAACAACAACATCATAATTGTCTAAAGATGTGGAGAGAGCCCCGATGGGGTTGGAGCCGTGACGCCCCGAGCGAGACGGCGCCCTCGAGCGAAGCGAAGCGCGCGGTGGCGCCGGCTGAAGCCTCGCGGGGCCAGCGAGACGGAGAGGGCACGGGGGTTGCTGCCGCACGCGGCACTTTCAGTGCACCACGACGAGTCACGTGACGCAATGCACGAGGCACCTTCAGTGCACCACGACGAGTCACGTGACGCAATGCACGCGGCACCTTCAGTGCACCACGACGAGTCACGTGACGCAATGCACGCGGCACCTTCAGTGCACCACGACGAGTCACGTGACGCAATGCACGAGGCACCTTCAGTGCACCACTTCGAGTCACGTGGCGCAATGCACGCGACACCTTCAGTGCACCACGACGAGTCACGTGACGCAATGCACGCGGCACCTTCAGTGCACCACGACGAGTCACGTGACGCAATGCACGCGGCACCTTCAGCGATGGCACGCGGGGCAGGATTTGTGTCTGAGTCCGTGTGTCTGTGTGTGTGTGCGTGTGTCTCGTGGGGAGCGGTGGTGTAGCAGTTAGCGCGCGCCGCGCAACGAACACGGCAACCCAAGTTCGATTCCCGCTCACGACCGACACACCGGTGACGATTACCTGAAATGGTCCTGGGTAATCCCCTAGGTCGACTCAGCCTCGATAGAGTACGTGGTTCAGTGTGTAAACATCGCCACTGGAGAGACAAAGGCGGTCGGGCGTGGTGCTGGCCACCCGCCCCCTCGTGTGCCGTTTTGCCCTGTGTAAGTGCTCGCTAACAGCACTTGCCCCTACAGTCTGTTAAGGCTATACGGTGGACCTTTCTCTTGTTGGGCTTCTTTCGCGCCGTGTGTAGCGTATATGGGATTCGGTCCTTGTATATAAACACATTCCTGCAGGAGGGAGCTGGTAGGAACGTTGGGTTGCTCGGTCAATGGCCAGGGTCAACGGCGGCACCACCACGTGGTGTGTTCAGCACAATATGCCCGACTGTGAGGGCGGGCACAAGCCGGCGTGAGTAGGTGAAACGTTGAGTTTTATAAGGGCACCACGGGGTGACCAGCCCCTCCCCACCCAGCCCCACCCTCCCCACCCAGCCCCACCCTCCCCACCCAGCCCCACCCTCCCCACCCAGCCCCTACCCACCCTCCCCACCCAGCCCCTTCCCACCCTCCCCATCCCCACCCAGCCCCTCCCTCCCCACCCAGCCCCTCCCAACCCTCCCCATCCCCACCCAGCCCCTCCCTCCCCACCCAGCCCCTCCCAACCCTCCCCTCTCCACCTAGCCCCACCCCTCCCATTTTTGGATGCACGACGGACGGACGGACACAATAATCCCCTGTGGGCTGGTGTAACCAGGAGGTTCCTACCAGTATTAATGTACAGCGTTGTGGGATGCTGTTGGCATGAATGACGCTGCTATATATAATGGAAGTAGTATTATTGTCAACAGTACGGAGATCGAATCGCATTTGTTTTTCCCCACGGCTCTGATGAAGGGGCGTGAGATCACATCCTATTTGGACTTGGTAGACTCGGCCCATCATCCATTCGAGGGGCCGATAAAACGCTTACCGCGTGGTTGTCCTCGGGATAGACTCACACCATCCCATAGGAATGTGGAATTTCCATCAACGGCCTCAGGGCTTGAGATGAGTAAGCACACTTCACTTTGTCCATAATAGAGGTTTTGTGGCTTAGATCGCGTAAATGTCAATGTGTCGTTAAACCCGCCACCACCCGACACAGCCACTTTGTCTAGTAACCTTTGATTAATTATAAATATTTTTGCAAGTGCTCGACCTTAATTCGTTTACAATATTCGGATTATGACAGGAGTTTTGCGTGGCAGTCAATTGCCTTGAATATCAATCTGAAAATAACGAAACGTGTAAAATGCCTCCTACTTCGGCTGCAATTAGTTCCAATCAGTATTAAAATTATTTCTCCAAGGTGATACGCGACACAGAAAGTTTGCATTGTTACGTATGTGGCTTCAGTCGTATCGTCAGGATCCCAGGGCTAGGGGACATCTGTCACCTTGTACTGAGTGCCCCTTGTGTCTATCCACTGCTGGATGAGAGCCTTTGTCCCCCTAAAGATCCCCCGTGTAGCCTTTACAGACTGTAGGGGCAAGTGCTGTTAGCGAGCACCTATGAAGGCCGATACGGCACACGAGGGGGTGGGTGGACAAACACCACGCCCGGCCGCCTAGTGGTGATGTTTACACATCGCACCAGGTACTCAGTTGAGGCTGAGTCGACCTAGAGGAGGCCCGGGACCGGTTCAGATAATCGTCACTGGTGTTGGCCGTGAGCGGGAATCGAACCCGAGTCGCCAGGTTCGTAGCGCAGCGTAGCGCTAACAGCTACACTACGCGGGTCATGGGGTTTTCTAATGACGATTGTCCACGCTGATCAGCCCGGCGAGATGAAGGTGAGTAGCGTGAATGATAGAGGAGTAATAATTATACAGCACAGCAATGACATTTGCTTCGCTGCCCCTGCTAGCAATTTGGGAGTCTTTCATCATCATCATCTGTCATCATGATGGTCCACTCTGAAGAGCATCCACTGCACATACCATGGCAGTAGATGCGGATACCTGATGCACAAATGGAACATTTAAAACTCTCCAGTCGTGTGCGGACTGTGGTCGTGCCGAACAGGACCGTACAACGCATAACGACGCAATCCCCTATACACAAATACGAAGGAGACATCACAGCGATACACTCCGCTACTCCTGACGCGGTTATCTGGCTTGACCACCTGCATGTGAAATTATAGTTGTTACTCTGCATCTACATGAGCCACACGAAAGAAGAAGATGGAGAAGAGGAATCACCCACATCACCACCACTCACCATTGCCTGTGCACTGCTGGATGAAGGCCTCCCGACAGCATCGCGGCATTCACAATTCCCGTTAGCAAGTCGTCAATTGGGATCACACCTGGCATCTATTGCCCCACTACTGGCGGGCGAATGCCCCGTTTGGAGGCCAAGGTGCTGAGTCGCCTTGTACCATGCGCTGACAGCTGCCACTGTGGAGGGGTTGGATTTGTTTGAGATGTAAAAGCGTTCGGAGGCGCCCCGGCGCAGACGAGGGCCCTCGATCAAACAACATGTTTACTGTTGAAGTGGTGGCAGTGGTGCACGACCAACAACAACAACAACAACTCGGCACATGCATCAATAACAATACTGTGGTCTTGAAACGAAAAAAAACACATAAATAATAAGGCGACGTTTCGGGCAAACGCCCTTCTTCCTTGCACGTTCGTTGAAGAAGGCCCATTGGCTGAGACGTTGTCCGTTACATATTTTTATATTAAGGTCACAGTGTTGTTGACAAGTGTGAGGTGGGTGTTTTCATCATTCACCATTTCGGGTCGATAAATCATAGTACCACTTTGTTGGAACTTTGTTGGAAGTCCAACAAAGTGGTTGCGCAAGTGAAGTCTTCGGTATCCCCCATCGGGATGGTGGAAAATCTTCCACTGATCTCAGGGGCAGCGAACTTGAAGACGAGCTGCCGTGCCCACACTTTAACTTTGTTTGACAAACTCGACCGACAGGCTAGTCTCGCTCCTCCGAGGATGTGCCACTTATCACTCGGATGAGGTGAAAATTACAAACCGGCAAAAAAAAGCATTACACGCTGACGAGCCAATCTATTAAGGGAGCCTCCGCCGCCTTCGGGTCACAACGCGATACATCTGTAGGCTTACCGAGAGATGCGTAGACTTACACTGCAGATTAATAGGCTTACACGGAGATTCCTTGGCTTACGTGGAAATGCG